GAAATGTAACCAGTGTAGCGAACAGTGGTTAGCTATTAGCACTTTGTAATTATGATAATTATTGTTGTTCAAAATATTAAATAAAGGTTACAGGAGTTCAATACGTGAACAAGTTTATCTTGTCAACCCACAGCAGATTGTAAAATATTAACCATCGAGGTGAAATCAGCCCATTTATCTAAAAACATCTTTTTTTCTGATGCCATGAGGAAAATTCGGTAAACCACAGAGAGACAGGAGGAGGGTCGTTGGGGTTGGATGGTTAATATATTGATTGGTTGGTTGGTTCATTGATCGATTGACAGATGTCATTGGTATACTTGTTTTAAGTTTTTGTTTAATTTTCAGAATTTATAACCTTTTTATGATTTTAATAACTTAAAAAAAGTTAAATTAAACCAAAAAACACATGAAAGCAAAACTCCTTTCATCTGTTTCTGTCAAACAGGCCATAAACGTTATCTTTAAATCACGTGTGAAACATTCTAAATTTCTTATCGACCGGAAACCGTGTTTTCTCTCACACTAAGCTTCGCTTGACACGCTTTTCCCACAAACCCACCCCGCCAGCTGAGGGAGGATCTCAGACCCAGTCGCAGCGAAGATGGTGGCAGGTACTGGAGTGGAGTTCTCCCGGGGAAGACGGAAAACCAGCCACGAAACTCCCGCTGAGGGTCTGCTTTCAATTTAGCCCCCCCCCCCCCTCCTTCCCAGGCCCGGCAGAGAGACTGGTGGAAAAAAAGGGGGAGAAAAGGGTGGCAACCAGCGGCGGACGGAAGAGGACGCACCAGAGCGCACAGTGTTGTGTTTGTTGGACCCACGCATGCCAGCGAAAACTAGCGCTACCCAGAGCTGAGGCACTGGCTGAGATACGTTGCTGTTGTTCGTGGGCTCGGTTTTATGTTTCAACATAATCTCATCGAGAACATGTCCGAGGGGTCTCCTGCATCGCTCTGGGGGATTTTCTACTCCTTTGCTCTGGGGGAATGCGAGGGCAGGAAATCCAGCCTCAGCTCCAAATAACCAGAGAACTGGGTCTCCTCTCCAAACGCAGGAAATACGGCCTGGGAACGAAAAAAAAGTTTGGGAGCTTTTGGAAACGAGAGAGGGGCCTATCGCTGACGTTTTACACGCGTTTTACCACTTGTTTTTTTTAAGTGTTGCGTGTTTTTTGTATTAAGCGCTGCTGTTGCTGCAGTAAGTTGGAGAAGATCATTCAAATGTTACACGCCGTTGGTGTTGTTATTGCAAGAGTTTTGATCATCACTATTTATAGACCAGCCTGTTCCGACCGAGGCAGTTCCTCATAGCTGTAGCCCATGTTTTGCCAACTGCGCGCAACAAGTTGCAGACACTCCCAGCAGAGGCAAACCTTCGCCAAACCGGGGCCAGCGGATGGTGTTTTCTGCGCTTCTCTTCGCGGATTACGCGTCTTCTGGTTGCGCACACGCCTCCCCCGACCCCCTCATCGGAAGGCAGAGGGGGAATAAACGGTGGAGATCCGGAGAGGGAGTTCAGGAAAGGACGGGGCTAGATCCGTGGGAATAGGCCTGCCTGTCAGGCCTCCCATGATCGGATTCTTGGACTACATGGACAGGGCTCCGAAATAACCCAGTCTGGAATATTTGCGAGGGCCCGCTGGATTAAAAATGGAAGAAGAGTGCATGAGAAGAAGAAATGCAAACCCATAGCGCACCCGAGCGACACACGAGAAGGGATGTAGTGGAAGGTAAAGCTGCTTGGATTACCACTCATCCACTTTTTTAAACAGTTTACCTACTTTTTAATTTGGCATTAACCTTTTTTTCACACCGTAGCTCTGAAGTCTACAGAGCAAGAGAACAGATAAATTATTACTGGCCTATATTTTTCTAATAGTGTAGATGCTCTTTAATTTTTATTGGAGCACTACTAGTTGTTCATTACAATACTGGGAGTGTTTTCACGAAGGCAAAGGACGAGCACATTGACAGTTGTGGAGATAAGAGGGACTCAGTAACTTTTGGAACTCGCTCGCTGCGCACTACGCCAACTGTTGACAGCCTGTGAGTGTGTGCTCCTGTACAATGAAGCCCTGGACCTGAGCGCTGTTTTCCACCTTCTCCCCTCCACAAAATCACAGTTTTCCCGGAATGAAGAAAGAATCTGGGCATTTTCTCCTGAAGCTGATCTGACTGTGTGATGCCAGCAGCATCGAGATATTGCGCACGTCCAGAGGAGGTGATTTCCAGTCATGTAACGTCAGGAGCGAATGGTTGAAGGCGTAAAAGCATGAGCCCGTTGCATCACCGACCAGTCGTTTCCGAGAAGGATGTTCAGTTCAGAAGGCAGAAGGAGTGATGACAGTGTTTTTACCGCAGCTGGAGAGAGAGCCGGGATCAAACCCAGAGCCTCTTCGGAGGAGGACGCATGTGATGTGAGTACTGACGCAAACCGGGCTTGGATAATGACCTGCTCAAGAAACTGGAACGGTGCGTCTTGTGTGAGTGAATGTGCAGACTGCTGTGTGCGTAGAGGAGACGTCTGTGCGGCGCTCACCATTCATGCAGCGTGATTATTCCAACGAACACCTTTGCTCTCTCTCCCCCCTTCTCCCTGTCACTCTCCCGCCGCCGCCTCCCCCCCTCCTCGCCGTGCCACATGTGCACACGCGGCGCCCACGCACCGCGTCTTGTTGCCTGAGCGGCATAAGAAGATATTATTAATATTCAGCGTCCCCCCCCCTCCCCTCCAACCATCGTCTCCGCGTCTCAGAGCAGTCAACATGGCCACTCTGCAACATCACCGGCCGCTCCTCGTGCGTGGCACTGAAGTCAGCTGCGACTCCCGCGGGGATGGCGCCATGACCGTGCGAATTACTAACAGCGCGCCACACGCGCATCAACGTGAGCCACTGAGGGCTGCCAACAGTGGGGCAGGAGGAGGAGCTGGAGGCTGTGGTTCTGTGAGTAAAATGAACCCTGACCTCCACAAATACAGCATCTCCTCCAGCTGCAGCTCAGCAGAGTCCAGGCCTGCTGTGACCTCCAATCCCAGGGTGCAAAGGAAGGCGCCGCCGTTGTTCGAGCGCTCTGCTGCCCAGTGCTGGGACCCCAAGTTTGACTCCCCGATCCTGGAAGAGGCGTGCCAAGATAGGTGCTTTCCTCAGACGCAGCGGCGCTTCCGCTATGTCCTGTTTTACCTTGCAGTGGCTGCTGTACTCTGGGGGGTGTACTTTGGGGTCAACAATGACCGATGCAACCCTATGACCTTCCTAGCCCCCACAGCCTCCTTTTTGGTTCTTCTAGTGCTCCTCTTTTTCTTCACCTTCACCCAGCCCTACACATGGCTGTACAACCAAACCTCCTTGGTCCTGATAGCGGTCACCTTTGCCATCACCTTAGCCCCACAGATACAGACTGCTGGTTTCACTGAGCTGGAGTGGGCTGGTGGTGGGAATGCCTCATATCGCTCACCAGACGAACTAACACAACCTACAAGCCACTGCATCTCGTCTGTGGGCACCTTTTCCCTGTGCATGGAGGTTTTGCTGTTGTTATACAGTGTCCTCCATGTCCGTCTATATGCCTCTGTGATGCTTGGGCTCCTCTATTCTATATTATTCGAGGCATTAGGATGGCTGCCATTGCTTCAGAGGAGTCATGACACTGCCAGCTTGGGAACAGGGATAGAGGGTTCAGGGGACACACTCAGCTGGCTCGGCCCGGCCAAAGCTCTGCTTCACTTGTGTGCTCATGTCATTGGCATCCACCTGTTCATCATGTCTGAGGTTCGTTCCCGCAGTACTTTTCTCAAAGTGGGCCAAGCTATCATGCACGGCAAAGACTTAGAAGTGGAGAAGGCCTTGAAGGAGCGCATGATTCACTCTGTGATGCCACGACGAGTTGCAGACGAGCTGATGAAGCAGGGTGATGATGAGGGCGGCGGCGAAAACTCTGGCAAGCGTTATTCCTCCGGTGCTTGCTCTGCCTCGGCCATCTCTGTGGGTGGTGGAGGAAGCTGTGGAGTTTCACAAGCCCAATGTTCCACAAGCCCCAAAAATCATGCTCACAACAATCACAAACGCAAGAAGACCTCCATCCCCCGTGGACAGATAATATTTAGGCCCTTTAACATGAAACGCATGGAGCCTGTCAGCATCCTCTTTGCAGACATTGTGGGTTTCACCAAAATGTCTGCCAATAAGTCAGCACCAGCCTTGGTGGGCCTTCTCAATGACCTGTTTGGACGTTTTGATCGGCTGTGTGAACTAACCTGCTGTGAAAAGATCAGCACCCTGGGAGACTGCTACTACTGCGTAGCAGGATGCCCTGAGCCCAGACCGGACCACGCCTACTGCTGTGTAGAGATGGGCCTGGGTATGATCCAGGCCATCGAACAGTTCTGCCAGGAGACATGTGAGGCTGTCAGCATGCGTGTTGGCGTCCATACTGGCACCGTGCTCTGTGGGATCCTTGGAATAAAGCGCTTCAAGTTTGATGTATGGTCTAATGATGTAAATCTGGCTAACTTGATGGAGCAGCTAGGTGTGGCAGGCAAGGTCCACCTGTCAGAAGCCACTGCCCGATTCCTGGATGACCGTTACCAGAGCGAGGATGGGCGGGTGGCAGAGAGAGCTGGCCAGAGTGTGGTGGAGAAACTAAAGGGTAAGTGGCTCTTCTGCTATGCTTCCATGTGTTTAGGAAAATCTGAGCCTCCGTGTAAAGACGTTAGATATCAAAGAAACTCAGAGGTTCTCACAAAGAGGGTATTACTGGTCTTGAACACATGATCCACAGATAAATGACTTTAAGAGATAAATGTGCTATTTAAAACTTACCTATGAGTTTATCTTCAAAGTTCAGCGAGTTTGTGATAGCACCTTGAGCACTGAACAGGTGATTAAAAAGCGTGCTGCAAAGGCTAAACACACATACGATGAGGCTATTTTACATTTCTCACACACACAGGGTAATGGTTGAAAAGCTGTGTATTGTCTGAACATGGTCATCAGGGTTTTGTGGGGTCACTACATGTCTCGACGGCACTAGAATGTTATCTGACCAGTTAGTCTTGTTGAAACAGTCTGCCAACAGAAGCAGAAGATCAGGCTACAAGATCAAGAGATTAGAGCACCAGGAAGACAGAGGTGTTTGGGTTCATATCAACTGGATTTCATTCAGTAGCACTCAATTCATTGTTATTCCTTCTGTTTTTACATATAGAAACAGAAATGAGATGACAAATGTTTTTCTTCAAGTACAACAGATGGACATAAGATGCTTGCTGCAGACCAATGTCAACAACTTGCATAGTAAAACTATTAATGGTTGGCCACGGCAAAAGGATAACATGATGAGTATACATTTGGAATATACAGCGGCTAAATGGCTTCAATACTTCACTCACTTATTAGGTTGTTCAAAGTATATCAACTCCATAGGCTTTTAACTGTGCTGTCTCTGAGTGTAGCTTGTTGCTGTGGTTGGCCTGAATGTTGAATGCTAGAGATTGCAGTTGATAACAGGAGGGCTAACCAGCTTTACTGTGCCGTGGTAGGTATTGTCCTGGATTCCATTAGATTAAAGAGTTGATCATCACACCCCATGTAGGAATAGTGGTGGCGTGTTGCAAAATTAGACTTGCCTGTCTGCAATATGTCCATGTTTGCTAAGTGTTACCTTGTTTGCTTTTTTAAAATCAGGATTTTTTTTAGACAACACA